ACAGTTGAAATGGTTCTTCGAACGCACTTAAATTTTAATTAATCAATAACGTTTTAATTTTCTTCGAATTGAAAACGAATTAACCTACAAAGTGTTTTAAATTTTTGTTTAAAATACAAAGTAAATAAAAGAAGAATAATTTTTATGTAATATGTTAGTTTTATTTATGAATATTTTTATATGCTATAGATGATGTTTATTATGTTACGTATAATGCATATTTCAATTTTTACTCTGTATATGCGCAGGTAAAAATGCTTTAGAAGTGAATTAATAAATTAGTTCATCATGCTCTTGATGCCCGTTTGCCGGCCGGTGAAAATTCTTGCTGCGCCAGATTTAATTTTGTTCTCAGCGTCGCGATGAAAAAACGAATGGCTGAAAGCATCGCTGAAAGCATTTCCGTCTCGCGCACTCCACCGAGGGCGAACTCTCGCTTATTCGATTTAGTTTATTATTAATTGTGTTTAATGCATGGTGCGTGGCAAAGTTTTAGCTCAGTTCTGTGGTGTTTAATATTAAACGTTAACAAAATGTGTTACTTATGGATGATAAATCAAGCTTAATATTAAATTATGTAAATGTGAATCAAACATACACAGTAGTTATTTTTAGAAATAATTATAAACTGTATTATACAAATAAAAAAAACTGTTGTAAAAATTAGTTTAAAAATAAACCTGTCAACGTTTATTATTTAATTTTAGAATTTATTTTTGTGCTACAACTTTTGCGTTCCACATAAAGCAAATTTATTTTGTAAAAACACATCAACGCATATTTCCAACGCGCACTTTCGTTTTTTAGTGAACGATAATAATCAAAACATTAAAATTGGATTTTTAAAAATTTAAAACTTAATTTAGCGCCCTCCGGATGGAAAGAGACGCGCCAAAATTAGGCGTTGTTTAATTTAGAGCGCGGAACGAGCGCGACGCTGTTCCGATTGGCGCGCTGCGCTTTATTACACGTACGCTAGCATCCCCGTCCACATCCAGGCAGCATTAATTGCCAAGGGTATCAACGTATCAAGCAAATCAAACGACAAACGCGCGTGCCTGCTAGAGTATTTAAATTGATGCGACGACGAGGGGACACCAATGCGCCGAAGAGAGCTAGCACGCTATGCGCGGGCGGTAAATAAGCGTAGGACGAAAGGGTTGCGCTGAAAATGCATGCGAGCATTTTGAATTTCAAATTTAAAATTAAGTTTTCATAATTTAGTTTGCCGTTTGCAATTTGTCACAATCGTGATTTTCAACTACTCGTATGTGTGGCATTTTCACTGATGGACATGGCTGAAGATCCAATTATGATTATTCAATATTGTAATTGAAGAACTTTTTTTACTTCTTTAAAATGTAGAAGTATAATATAATTTCTTCTTTGGAAATAACTTTTTAATTTAGCTTATTAATCAATTCAGAACAATTGACGGAAATGATATTACCGAAGGTGATTTTAATTTTATCTTTTTTTTTAAAAGCACCTAATTAGCAGCGGATGCAAGCTCAATATTTGGTTGCAACCATGACAGAATGACGCGGGTGCGTTCGTAAATTAACTACACGTAAAGCTGGAGTTAATAATTCCGCGTACTGTGCTGCGAATTTAGCGGAAATAATTAATCGGTTGGCACGCTGCAATATTCAATCAACGAGCGGCCGTGCGCATTTTTGGAATCGAATTTGTGCATTTATCAAATTATTCAACGTGGCTCAGGTCGAAAATTAATATTTTGTAGTAAAAGGTGATTACGTTTCATGAACAAAACAATAAACAATATTAAAGCGCGTTTCGCAAAAGTAACAACTCGTGACAGAAAGTAATTAAATATATTTATTAAAAGTGCGGTTATGCATATATTAACAAGAATATAAATGTCTTTTTTGTTATGCTGCATAAATCTCTAACAGAATTTTTGCAAAACACTTGTTTCTTTATCTCCTCAAGTGAGCCACACTTGATCCTTTGGTGATCCATCCCGGAAAGAAAAACACAAAAGGATAAAGACCTCTTTGGAGCATAAATCGTCCTGTGTGGCCTGCGCCTTGTGTTATATTTCTATGTTTTTATGTTCTCGTGGTATTCGCGTGTGTCCGGTAACAGATTTAAGGATTTTTCTAGATTTAGCTCGCGTGCGTCCACAACTTGCACGGGATGCTATGGAGAAAAATGCACTGGGTCCTAATGTCCTCCAGGGTTCGGGACGAAAGAGATAAACTCGCTCGCACTCAAAGTTATGAGATATGTGCGCGAATCAGGTGCTAGGAAACCCTCGTCGTATTTCACAATAAGCTCCGCGTCTGACAAATAGATGATGAATGTTGTTTTGCATTAAGCGCTGCCGCAAAAACACTAAGCGGTCGAGTGTTCGAGAGACACATTAGGCAGGCAAATTTGGAACAAAATGGGCTACCGTTTTTCCCCAGGTAAATTGAGGCTGTGCTTAAAGTGTACGTGTAATGCTTTGAAAAGCTAATATATACATGTAAATTGTAAATGCAATAAAAGTATTTCGTTACAAATTAAATAATTAACTTACATTGAATCGTAATAATATTTTGTTTTCTTAACAAAATATATTCGTAAAATATACTACTCATTTATTAGAATATTTAGAAAAAATAAATATTAAGAATAGATTTAAATTTTTAAAACTATTATTGCTTAGATAACATTAGCATTTCATGAATATTATGTGTCTAAAATTCCTATTCAACATTACTAAGAGAAATATGCCTAGTGAATACTAGTTGAACTTTTTCTTCAAAATAAGGGCTAGGAAACATTGTGAAGCATACCTACATATTATTGATTCTGTTTGTGGAAACGCAGAAGAATTCTATAAACACTGAATACCGCCATCTGTAGCCCTCTGGTAAAAGTAATATAGGGGATGACGTTAACACCCTTTACTCTGAATGTTTGCGTATGTTTTTATAGAAAACTATTTATTATAGCATATGTACCGTTTTAACCCCTCAAGTATAGAGCTATGAACAATGTAAAATAGAAAGTTATTGTAAAAAATATTTAGTAATATATCGTTTTTACAACGATATTGTGAGGGTATAGCGTACAGTAAGTGTTTACTTAACTTTTTGTAAAGTTTTACTGGAATTTTTCATGAATACTTTGCTTGAAATATCCAAAAGCGTATAAAACTGTATACTAGGGTGTCCGTTATTTCCCACATTGATTTTTTTTTTGTTGCCGCCCTCTGAAGTTTTAGTTTTTGCTCTAAAATAAATGATCAAACGTAAATTAGCTCTTAATTCTCAATTTAAACCGTGCCGGAATCATGATACTTTTTCCATTTAAATAACATGGGATTTCCTGACGTTTTACATTTAATTTTTTATCTCCAAAGTAAATGAACCTACAGCTTCGACAAAGACATATTCTAATGCAAAATTTTACCCTCTACAAAAAAGATCTCTTTGGTTTTTTCCATAAAAACATTCCTGTAAAAGTTATTTGCGATTAAAAGTATACATCGACGCGTTGTCGATACGCGGCTATTGTAACTTAAACTCTAGTTTCGATCAATTGACCATAGGTGGCGCAGTTAGAATTTGCTGTGAATGAGATTATAAACTATGTGAATAACTTTATTTCGATTTCCTTGACTACGACAATGTGCATAAGGCGAATTTAATACAGCATGTGATATTCAGGTGCAAAGAAATGTTGAACATTTTGCAAATAAATTCTAGTTTAGGAATTTTGCAACGAAATTCTGCAATCTCGACTCCGTCACTTAACAAAAAAAAAAATACTCAAGCAATACATGCCTTTTGGCATAGAGCAATTAACTTTTTATTTTTATGGTGATTATGCCATTAATAAAATTATTTTGATAGTGACCATCAACAATGATATTAATAAAAATATACCTAATTAATAATAATAATAATAATAATAACAGTTTGTTGGAGGCTCCTCACAATTCATTAAATGCCAGTTACGGTAATTAAGAATTAATAACATCATTGTGAAGAGGGCTATTTAATTACATTATTTGCACAACCTTTTACTTAATAAGACTAATGGCAACACTTAAGAATTAACTCAGAAACTAGAAACTAAAAAAGATACACATGAACAAGAAAAACTGCATCTAATACAAAACTTTGAAAAGAATTTTAGAGTTGCAACTTTAATTAAAGTAGTTTTTAGTTAGCTAGGATACCAGAAAATCGTTATGCACTAAATTATTAATTTCTCCATCGGTTCTAATACAGAACGTAATAATTAAACTGGTATATACGTTAATATTATCTGACTACACTGACACATATACTCGAATATGATGTGAGTAAAGTAAATGTAATTTAATAAAAAATACATTTAAAAGATGTACCTATTGTGTATTTGTGTTTACTTGTTAAATATTTCATCATGTGTGCTTATTTTTTATGAAAATAAATTATGTTAAAGTGCAAGGCGTCCCGCTGTCTGTCTGATGGCAGCGACAAACGGCGAATAGCGAGCGTCAGGTGACAACGTCGGGCGCCGGCGGCGGTGGAATTGTTGGCTGGTGGCGGCAAGGACGCCGCCGGCGGCAGGGTTAGTCTCATGCCAGTCCCGCACGTCGCCTCGATGCAATCGCACGCGCTCGACGCCACGCCACTCGACGGACGGCACGCGCTCGCTAACACCGGCGGCGGCGACGGCAACAAACGACGCCTGCGACGGACGTCAACTCGGCCGTGAAAGCGATCACATTATTGTGAGCATATTAACCGTGCGCGACCATATGGACGCAATCATTTACAAACGAACTTTGTAAATAGATTAGTTTAATAATTTACGACATACAAACAAAAACCTCGATACAATTTCAATCGTAGAAACTATGTATTCAAATAGTGGTAAATTCAATAATCAAGTTTAGTTTGTATCAAGAAGTTTAGTTACCTAAGTAAATGTGTATAACAGAGAGGAATCAAAACCCCATTTGAAAACTGTCTTAATAAAACTTTAGTCTAAGTTAGAAGATGTCTTCATGTGAAATGTGTGTTCCGAGTTTAAACAAATTGTGCGTGTAATCGTGCGGAGTTTGCAAAGTGTATGAACTAACATGGGACAACTTTCACTCTGTACTCGCAGGTGAATATCGATTTGAACGTATTTTTCCTTCTTAAATATTCATACTAATGCAGTACTGAATATAGAGAATCAATAACACTTAAATTTATTTATTGCGTTATTTCTATAATCAAAATGTTCTACTTTTATACCGCGTCTTGTTAGTCATTTATTTGTTATTACATTAATTAAAAAGGTGTCAAAACTTTAAATTAATATTTTTCTACTGCTACAATGAAATTAAAAGTTTCTTACTTAATTAACAGCCAGCGATGCAAATTTTCTGTTGTGTAGGCTAAAAATAAAGTCATCTTTGTTTTCGTCGACCCGATCGCACATATCCAACGAAATTTTCTTTTTCGTATCTAGTTCTTAATACATTCTCAATGTGCTTTACTAAATATGTATGAGATGCCCGGAAATTATGTCGTCGTTGTGCTCATCCACACGTGAACTCGTTTCGAATTTGTCACGTAGCACGGAAAATACAGCGCCCGAAAGATCGTTGAAGATAAAAAAACATCGTTATAACATTGAATTTACCTCCTCCGCGTTGTTAGCGGCCCGTTTAATAAAAATACATTTGAGGCCAAAAATCACCGGAAAAATAAAGAGATGTTTGTTTAGAAATGCAAAAGGGGAATGGGAAGAAATTTGCGAACAAAGAATTATGGAAGATGCGCTTGGCGTTGTCGATGTTGAAGCTAGAGCGTGAAAATCTGGCTTTATCGGTCTCCAGGGAGTGTTTCAATAGATCTCAGCTTTTCTATCCGAGGTGCTATCGCAATCTTAGTTGGGGTTGGAAATTTATATCCGGAAGGTTTTTAAGTTACGTTCGTAAAGAAGATTAGTTATGAGCATGCAATTTTTATTTTAACCGCTTGAAAAAAAAGAGTAAAATATTGAAAAATTTTATTGGAGCCCCATATTATTAAATATTTTAATATTATGTCAATTTCCGTTTTGTAAGTGGATTTATTCTCTCATTTTTTGAGCCAAAAAGATTGATTTTTATTTCGAAATCCTGTCATTTTATTTCGGTTTTACGATTTTACAGCCACCGTTGTTTTCATATTTCATCATTTCTTATCATGTTTTTATTACATTTGCTCTCTGCTGAAGCGCTTGCCCGCAAATTCAAGCCTCTCCGCCCGAAGCGATGCGACTCAGACAAAACGCCACGAATGGCGACGGATTAGACGTTTCACACTTTTTTTGCGTCTCCCGTTTCATTGTACTTTTATATGCGCCAAAGGGCATGGAGTTTTACAGATGTGGGTATAATACTTCAAAAAATATATTTTTATTAGCATTATGTTTTGGGATAAGCCACTTTTAATCATAAAATATTTGCACATTTATACCACAAATTTTTAATGCCATCAAAATAAAATAAAAAGCCTTTTGTTTTAATATTTCCTATTGTGTTCGTATTAAATTTTTATTGTAAAACACAGGATTTTCATTCTTTTGTTACGTAAGTCAATAATAAATGTACGTATAAAAGTATATTACTATGATTTATAGTACGCCCAACCTAGACATATCACTTGGTTATGTTAAAAGATAAAATAAATTTTGTCTATTTGAGTTTGGCGAGCCAACCCGCCCATGAACTAATAGCGTGCCAACAATTTCAATCCCTTATCCGGAGTGTCTTTCGTCTTGAGTTTGGCGCTCGATCCAGCGACTTCTATGGAATGAATAGATGGATAGTTTTTGGCTTCTGTTACCATTCCGGGTGGAGGCGACTGGCGATTTAGGCGAATGCCGGCGGCGCGGTGGTTGCGGTCGTTCGGCGCGCTTTCGTGCTTGGGGTAATTCCGACGGACGGACAAATTGTTCGATTATAGAGATATATACGTTGTCCGACCTTTGGCCCAAGTATTTGCCAACCAAATACAACAAATCGATAGAAAACGTACAAAAAAATGTTTGAAGATAAACAAAATTGTATTTTTTGTAAAATATAAAAAATGATAAATCAGTTGAAAAAAACCCGACTATCAAAAAATAAATCAAATTTTAGAAATCATTTATTTTCAGCTTAAAAAGTTTTGAAATTTTCAATTTTCTGTTGTTTGCAAATCCAATTTAGTTTTGGTTTCGCGCGTCTAAAATGTCTCTGTACAAACCTACATAAACTATGTGATTAATGACGTGCCTCTTGCCGCCATCATTATCCAACCAAGTGTTTTAAATAATGATGCGACCATAAAACCGCACAGCATTCAACGCTAGTCACAAAAAAACTCCTCTCGCTGTTTTTCTCGACCAAACTCAACTTAACTCCAAGAAAAATACACTTTGTTGGATGCGCTGGCCACTTTAGTTGCTCGTGGCAGTCGGGCGATTGGGGTTTCCTGGGCTTGCGTTTTTTATCTTTTATGGATGCAGCCGCCGTTACGCGCAAATTCTACCCGCTCACGTTTACAGTATGCATTTGGTTGGTGCTTCTTGTTCTATCTTCTTTTTATCATTTATGAACATCCGGGATCTACCACCATTCAGTAACATCTATTGCATGCAGAGATAGTATCTAGTGTTTTTGCTTCTTTTTTACTTGGTAAATGGTTAATGCTTTCATTGCGTTACTGCAAATTTGCACAATTTATCTTTAAATAGTTTATTATTTAAATAAATGATTATACATTTCACTATATTAATCACAAGTAAAATAAAAAATGAGAAATGTTTTGAATGTAATAAGTATATTTTAAAAAGATTTATATAATGTGTCATTTATTTCAAGATATATTTTCTCGTTGCACCAAGAAGGATTTGACTTGATTAATGGTGAAAATCAACAGGGAAAACCCATTTATTCCAATTTGTCGCACTCAGCCGGAGTGAAAATTATAGGATATCACAAAACGTAGAATTAATTCACAAAATAGAAAATAATAATTATTCAGAATAAGTTTTCATGCTAAAAATAATAAATTTTTAAAAATTGTTGTTTATAAATATACCTACATCTATTTTAAATTCAACTATAAAGTTTTTTGGTACGTTGAAATTAATAAACATCATGCATAAATGAAGGTATTTATTGTTATAATTCGATGCCCGCATCCCAAACTGTTGATATCTGCACACGGCAGGCAAGTCCATTAATATAATGAGTTGTTGGAGCAAAACGACGATTGGGAGCGCTCTTCTGCGCTACCGATTCATTTGATTAATTTATTACCTGGATTTATTGAATATGTGCGGTGTATTCCATCCTTCACATTATCAGTTTACACTGTACGTCAAAAACGAATTGTTTACTATTAATTACATTTGTCAAGAACAAATTAATTTCAGTTAGGAATTGAAAATAACGTCAAAACTGTATATTGTTGACTTTTCTCAATTAATTGGAAAAAATATATTTATTTGATGACAATAATAAAATACAATTTCTAGTTTGACTTCAAATCACATTAGGAAAAGCACTAAAAATCAGAGACCACAACAACGCGCAATAATATTATAACGTAATAATAACGGATTAAAGCGGCCGGAAAGCGTAATCCTTGTTTTACGGCCGCTTGATGCCATAAAATGATTTGATTGCCGCTGTGCGCTTCCGGCGTTTATCTCCCCGCATAAAAATACAAATAAATGACGAACAATATACGAAGGCACACAGATGATTAGGTTGTTGGACCCGGATTGCGTTGAATTTATGAGCATATTGTCAAGGACATTTTTTGATCAGTTTTGACGTTGTTGCTTTCAGAAATGCAAGTCGTTTCCTTTTGTCACCATTTTAACATTAATGTTTAAATGTCCATATTTTCTGTTTTATCCTAAGCTTTAAATGCCCGGCACCTCCACATAACTGTTTACCTGTGTGTATTTCCAAAACAAAATAAACTCAGAAACTTTTTATTTTTGCTAGAGCAACAAAACATACTATACAAGCATAAGGTTATTTCCTGCCAAAGTAATGTAAAGATTGCTGACGGTAACTTGAGGTAACTTGCGATAACTCTGTTACGTGATTTTCTCATTCAACGACGACGCTAGGTGGTCCGATTCGTGTATGCTTTGGGTAAAGAACGCATATAAACACGATGTGGTATGGTAATCAATAACTCGTTATTTTCGATGGATATCGCACGTTAGCTCGAACTACCTGACCTCATTATGTAACACTTCGAGCGGAGTGTTAACTGGAAGAAAGCAAGGAAAGTGAAAAATATAATAAAAAATAAAAATTAGAAATATTCCATTTACTAAATATCCAAATTATAAAATTTTTCACCCACTTTATAACACACTTAATAAATTTAATTGAAAACGGCTATTAAAAGATTTTTTTGATTTGAAGAACTTCATAGAACTAATTTTTTGTTGAAATTTTTTTAAACAATTCTAAGTATGGTTAAATGACCCTAAGTTTTTAATATGAATTCTTTAAAACTTTGAAAAATTAATGAGTTTTGGTTAAATTTGTGAAATATTTCATTAGTCCTGTCAGGATCAGTTTGCTGGAAACTTGGCACAGCGGGACTAATTAATTATTGATTCCGTAGAGTACAAAAATTCTTTTCGCTCCATTGTGTGTCACGCTCGTTGTTGCACTTTTTTCTTTTCTTGTTCGTTATTCGTTTGCAAACTAGGTTTTTTGACGTTTTTTTTTACGAAATAAAAAACAATAGAAAAAGCGGATGCAGGAGCTTTTTAACGTTTGCTCATGACAACAGAAAAAATCAACCAAACCCACAAAAAATACACAAAAAGAAGAAATATGAATGGGAATTTGTAAGCAATTTGTTCGCACTCGCGTGCGCTAGGTACACGAATTTATGAAGTCGCATATTAAATTTCTTCGCCCAACAACACCAATAACGCAAAAAGATTTTTTGCATGTTTGCGTTTTTTTATTCAAGCCGTGTTACGTTTCACACAAAATTTTATTAATAAAACTCTCGGGCCCTGGAGGATGATGACAGAAAAAACGCGACCGTTAGAGGGTGGAAGGTGTAATAATGCTAATGTCATGCTGCTTCACGACACGGTTCGCGTCT